TGCGGGGCGGGGCGGGCGGGGCTTAGCGAGGGGGCGGGGACAGCACGGGCAGGCGGAGCTTGGGCCGAGCGGGGCTGGCCCTTTCGGCACGCGCTGCGGGGCGGGGCTTAGGGGATGGGCGCGCGGAGTAGGCGGAGCTTCCCGGCTCAGCGCTACCAATCCTGCCGCCAYACACTGAGGAGGCGGGGCTCGGGGGTAGGCGGAGCTTCGTGAGGGGGTGGGGASCCCGCGGGAGCGGGACCGGCCCTGTCGGAGTAAATGGGGCGGAGCTGCCGGAGTGAGCGGGGCTTCCAGAGGCACAAGATGGGCCAGGCTCCCTGGGATGGGCGGGCCTGTTCGGATGAGCGGGATCGGCTCTGTCTCTGCGGGCTCCCGGCATGCTCTGCGCAGCGCCTAGCCACACCCCTGCCCTGTCCCCCGTGTCCCCATCCCGCCCCCGTGACCCCCCGTCCTCTGTTTTCGCCCCCAGGCCAGGGCTTCTCCCCGTCGTCAGCCATCTTCCTTGCCCCAGGCCATGTGCCCGTCCCCACCCGGACCCTCGGTGCTGCCCCACTCCCGTCCACAGCCCGTCCCCTCCACCCAGATTCCAATTTCCTCATCCCTATTCTAATCCACGGTCCTGTTTACTACCCCAATCCCCATGTTYCCCCTCTCCGGGTCCCTGTGTTCCCATCCTGTCTCCTACACCCTCTCAGCACGCAATGACACCCTCTGTGTCTCCCCTTCTGCCCATCCCTGTCCCTCTCCACATCCCGTCCCCTGCAGCCATTCCCTGCCAGTTCAGCCTCTGTTCACCCCCGCTCCCGTCCCAGTCCTTGTGTGTCCTCATACGTCCCCAATCCCGACCCCATACCTGACTACGTGTCCCATGTGCAGGAACCCGTGGGCACAGTCCTGCCTGTCTCCAGTCACCAYCGTGCCCAGATGTCCCCTTGTTGCAACCGAAGGGTGTCATTGCCACCAATCCTGCTCTGAGGGCTGGGCTGGGGACTGKGGGAAATTCATTCTGGCTGGCTGTGCCCTTGGGGCTCCCAGGGGACACAGCTATCCCTAGGGTTATCCCCGCCTACTGGCAGTCAGCTGTGTCCTGCAGAGAAGGGACCATGGCAGAGAGGGACAATAACAGGCAAAGTAACAGGGACCTTGGCAGGGACAGTGGCTATCACAGGGCTTTCTGCAAGCCAGGGAATCTGGGTGGCTCTGGCAGGGCTGGAGGACACTAGGCGCTGCCCAGGATGGGTTAACCATGATTAGGAGGGTCATTCCCCTAAGATCCCTGTTGGTGAACTTCATGGGCCACCCAGAAGCAGGATCCCCTTGCCACGATAGTGGTGACCCTACGGCAACAGGATGGTCTGCACGGCCTCCCCACTGCAGCATCACCCACTCTGGGAAGAGACCGCCAAGGTGGGGAGGCCAAGGCCAGCCCTCCTGCTTGGGGCTGGTGACGGTCCAGGTCCTGGTGCCCTCCCAGTAAACATGYCCTCCCAGAAGTGACATGCAGGGTGGCCATGAGGACACACAGGTGTGGGACAGGCTGGAGRTCATCACCAGGACAACACCTGGGTCACCTCGACACTAAGTGATTTTGGGCAGGTATTGAGCACACCCATGAGGGCAAAGATCAGGACTTCCTTGTGACACAGGTCCCCTGTGTGTCCCCCCCCCCACCAAGCTGCAGGACTGGGCTGAAGGCTTTATTGAAAAATCCAAAACACATGACGCAGTCGTTATTATCATACAATGAAAACCCAAAATCAACCCACCCTGCAATGGGGGTTACCCTCACCGTCCCCATCACCAGCTGCCAGCACCGAGGACACCACAGGGACCCTCTGCCCACGCCCGGCCGAGATACAAAAGGGACAAATGGATTTGGCCAAGAGTGGTGCTGCAGTCCCCAAGCACCCMCTGCCAGTGTGACCCCCGTGCTGCTCCCTGGCCCCAAGGCCTGAGGTAGTTGGGGGTGCAGGCAAGACTCCCCCCAAAATAAGTGGGGAGGGTTTTTGGGGCTCCCCGTGTCCTGCAGGAACGGGATGGTTGGTATTGCATCCGAGGGGAGCCAGCGCAGGTTGGAGATGGGGAGGCAGCAGGACCCTACAGGGGGAGGTCCAGGTCCCCCTTGCAGGCTGGTGCACAGAGCAGGTGGTCTGGCAGCAGGACTGGYGGGGGACTCGAGAACAGCGGGTCCCTGCACTCTGCATGGCTGCATGGAGTGGTGGCAGCTCTGAGGCCACGGTGGTGGCAGGTCCCACTGCTCCGGGTGCCAGCTGGGGGCTGATGGTTGGGCGTTGCTTGGAACGCATGCAGTGACAGCCCAGCCCCTTCCTACACGGAGAAAGGCCAAATCCTGTCCTCAGCACCCCAAGGGGAATGACACTCTGCCCCAGCAGGGGCACTGGCAGGACCATGGGGAATGGGGACATCACTGCATGGTCTGACGTCACTGTCTCCACTGCAGCGAGATGAGCTGGGGGRCCTGGAGGTGGCTGATGCCTTCCTGCCCTCTGAGCCCCCTGCTCAAGGCACAAAGGTTCCCTGGCTGATGCCAGCCGCATGGCCACCCCCACCCACAGCCACGCTGGCCCTGATCCCCCCGCACCCAAGAGGGTGGCAATGATACCAGGCTGGCACCAAAGTAATTGGGGACAGGGAGCTGCTTGCTCTGGCTTTGGGGTTTTCTGTTTTTGGGGCATGCTGGCTGCCCCCAAAACCCTCTGTGCTGCTGCCCTAGAGTCAACCCCCGTCCCCAGGAGCTGGTGGCTTGTGTGGTGGCACTGTGGTGGCCCAAACCTACACCCAGCACCTTGTGGAGGGTTTATTGCTGGGATGAACACAGTGATCTGTCAGGGCAAGGCAGCCCAGCTCGGGGGGGCTTGAGAGGCATTTTGAAGACCTGGGATGAGGGGCAGGAGCTCATGGCAGCATCCCTCCTGCTGCCGTCCCTTTCCTGGCTGTTCTGGCACCCTGTGTCACTGGCCAGAGTGTCCCATGGGAACGCCACCTCCCACCCTGCAGTAGCCAAAGGCACTCGGTGCTCCTGTCAAGGGGGAGCACACTTAGCACCAAGCCCAGCAGCACCCTAAAAGCTATCCCCCACCCAGTGGCACCCCTGGGGCCTTCTGTAGGCTCATTCCCAGGGCGGGGGGACATTTGCGTCAAACCAGGGGCTGGATTAAGGCTGGAAAAGCAGTGAGAGGCAAAAGAAGCCCGAATGCTCTCGCTCAGCCAGAGCTGGCTCCAAGAGTTCCCAGAATCTGTGCAAAAACAAAACTAAAGGGTTAAAGACCCCCGTGGATACGTGCCCCCCCTCCCCCCCAGCAGCTCTAATAAATATACGTGCGGTTGCGTAAGCCCTCGCCCTGGCCCTGAGGTTTTGGCGGGCGGCTCTCAGGGCTCTGGTGCTGGAGGCGGCTCCTGGGGGGACACAAGGGATGTGTGCTTCGGGGGGACTTCTGCACCACTTCCTTGGGGATCTTCCCAGAAGACAGCACTGAGTGGGGTCCCAGGGGTGTCCCCTGTGGGCTGCTCCTACCGCTGGTGCTAATCTGCAGCTGGAGGTGGAAGACAAGGTCAGGGGGTGCAGTGCCCACCGGTTCCCTCTGCCCCATCCCTCTGGGACCATAGGGCTGCTCTAGCAGCACCTGAGCCCCTGCCTGGGGTGATGCACATCCCACAAGTAGTGGATTTACTCATGTGTGTCAATTATCCCCAGGCTTGTGCCAGCTGCAGGAAAACGTGGTTACTGCCATGGATAGCCRGCAGGGCTTGTCCATCCTGCCCCACCTTTTCCCAGAGCAGCTTCCCAGCTGGAGCAGGGCTGGCACCACTCACCATCTTCTTCCCAGCCCTCCGCCACTCCAGCCAGCTCGTAGTGCTTCTTGCGCAGCTCCCCCAGCTTCTGCCGCTCCTTTTGCAATTGGTTCTCCAGCTCCAGCACCCGCACCTGGGGACAWGGTCCAGGACATGCCCAGCCAGCACCCTGGCACAGGGCTGGGCCACGCATCCCCCATTCCCACCCGTTATGCCCCCAGTATCGAGCCCAAAGACCACTGAGTGTTCCAATGGGCCTGGAGAGGGGATGGAGCTCAGGTGGGCACGGCTTGTGTAGGTAGATGAAGATACAATGATCTGTGTAGGCATCCCMGGAAGGGGTATTCCCTGGGGCTGCCCCATGCCAGGTAGAAGTGGGAGCTGTGGGTAGCAGATGGGGGAAMGGGGTGGACATGGGTTAGGTTTTCCAGCTGCTGTGCCTTGATGGGAACAGTGTCAGGGAGGAATTGAGGACCAAGTGTGTGTGACTCCTGGGCAAATCCATCTGTTGCTTCAGCACTTTGGGCTTCCCCCATGCTAGTGCTACCTAGGGGCAGCTGCGTATGGTGACACTGAATTTGATGCCCCACCCCGGGCAGCCCAAGAAAGGCATGACCAGGTGTGTTTCCCAAAATATGTGGGAATCCCCTACCTGCGAGTCCATCTCCTGACGCTTGATCTGGGTGAGTGTCATGCTGGAGAAGTCCATGCTGTCTGTGGAGAAAGACACCGCCAGACCCCCATTGAGCTCTGCTCCCCTACTCAGACTCGGCAGCAGCTCCCATGCTGCTGGCAGGGTCTGGCACCACAGGATATGCAGGCAGGGAGTGAAGGGCAGCCATGGACAGAGACCACAGCGGTCTAGCCAACTGAGTGTGTTGAGCGCCAACAGCAGGGGTTCTGGGGCAAGCCTGTGCTCCAAGCATTAGAACCAGATGACATGGCCTCAAGTTGTGCTAGAGGAGGTTTGGGTATGACAAAAGGGACGATTTCTTCATGGAAAGGGTTGTTCAGCACTGGCAGAGGCTGCCCAGGGCCTGGTGGAGTCACCATCCTGGGAGGGATTTTAAAGCCATGTAGATGGGGCACTTGGGGACATGGTTAGAGGTGCAGCAACAGTTAGACCCAATTGTCTTAGAGGGCTTCTCCAACCTAAGTGATTCCATGATTCTAAGATCCCTGCTGCCCAACATTTACCTTTCTCCTCCACCTGAGACTTCCCAGCCTTGGTGGAGGCTACCACGCTGGCTGTGGCCTGGTTGACACCCCGGGAGGCTTGCTGGAGCTTGCAGAGGTTGGCGCTGTCTTTGTCTGCCTTCACCTGTCAGGACAGCCAGGTGGGGTCACTTTACACCGTGCCAGGCAAGCAGAAGACCAAACCCACGATTTGAGGTGACTGTGTGGTGCCCCAGCCTCACCCCGAACCACAGGCAGGGAAGCAGCCTTGCTCCTACCTTGGAGGCTGCCACCAACTGCGCAGTGCTGGCCGCGATCTCCCGGGAGCATACCATCAGCTCCTCGAATGTCCCCTTGCCTTGCACTACCAGGTCAGCAGCATCACTGTGAGAGAGCAGAGGGGCTGGAGCATCATCCCGCCACCCTGTGTCCCCTCTCTGTGGGAATGACAGGACTCTGCCATCCTCTGCCTGCTCTAGTGACAATAGCACTTACACCATGACAGTGGCACCCCAGCCCACTGCCTTGGAGGCAGAGATGAGACCCTCGGTCCAGCGTGAATTCTTGGCATAGAACTCCTTGGGAGATGCTGCACCCTGATATTGGTAAAGGMATAGTTGGTTACAGGGCACCTCCAGCCCCCACTCTTGGGGGAAAGGAGGAGGTCAGGGTGTCATTTAGGATGTATGTGGGAACTGGGAAGACACTGAACTTGGGGGTTGTGGGATCCCCTGTGTGGGAAGGGAGATCAGGGATCACCGTTAACACCCTAGGAACCATAGCCAGGGTGAGACCCTGCAGCTGGAGAGRAAAGCCTGGCAGCTGGTGGGGAAGTCCCAGTGGGCCAAGGGTTGGAGCAGCATAACCAGCTGATGATCCCCAGCTGGACAAGCACCCCTGTCTTCATCCCTGCCCTCAGCACTTCCTACCTCCCTGCCTGCACCCTTGCCCGCACCCGTCCTCAGCTCACCCGTCCGCTTTCCACAATCTCTCTCTGGAGGTCCTTGGACGCCAGGACCAGGACATGGATGGCTTGCATGAGGCCCGTGCAGGAGCCCAGGATCCTGCGAGACAAAAGCCATTGAGCACCCCCTGGGGAGCAGCTGCCCTGACCTGCAGCACTTGTCCCCATCCTGTCTGCCTGACTCTATACAGTGCCCTGACCACCACTCACCTCTCGTTCACTTCCAGTTTGACGCCTGTGTCACCAGCTCGTGCCTTGCTCAGCATCTCCTGGTTGAGGAGAGAGAGGCKGTGCTGAGCCTCATGCATGTCTCTGGCCTCCCCAGTGGTCCCAACAGGCCCAGAACGGTGCCTTATGGGTCCCTCTCTGCTCATGGAGACCCTCACCTCAATACGGGCAGATGCTGTTTCGATGGCTGCGGCTGTTGCTGCCATCTCCTTGTCCACCAGGTCACCCAGCTCCTCCTGCTTTATGTCCAGCCCTCTGGGACGCAGCTCCTGGGGATAGGATGGGATGAAAGGCAGCGTCCAGGAGCAGTACGGTCCCTCTGGTGGTGCCTGCCGTGGCCTGATACCATCGCACCAGGCCTCCTGGGGCACCCACCTCGCCGATGGTGCTGATCTGGCCCAGGCAGGCTGTCACCAGGCTGCAGTCAGCATTTGCCACCATTGCTGGGTCTTGCAGGGCACTGAGGTAGCTCACAGCCTCACTGCCACACTGCTTGCACAGCTCCAGCAGACCTGCATGAGCAGCACAGGGGGCTGAGCGGGCCACAAGTGGGGACAGGGATATCTGATTTCTGCCCACTCCAGCATTCTGCCTGTGCTGGCCTTTGCCTGCCCTGGTTTCTGCCCSCTTCAGCACCCTACATGCCCCAGCATCCTGCCCACCTTATCCCAGCACCCTGCCATGACCCCTGCCCACCCCAGCATTCTCCTTGTCCTGGCCTGCCTTGGTGCCTGCCCACCCCAGCCCCTGCTCACTCTGACATCTGTCCACCTTTGCCCCTATCCATTGAGTTCCCTGTCCATCCCAGCCCTTGCTCACCCTAACCCTACCCACTCCAACCCATGCTCACCCTGATCCTCTGGCCATTCTGATTCCTGCCCACCCAGCCCCTGCCCGAGGGCAGCACTCACGGTCAGCAGGCTCCACAGGGGCCACATGTGAAGTCGCGCTGCCCTGCAGGATGGTGTCACTGACCAGGTGGGTGAAGAGRGCCAGGCAGGGCAGCAGGGAACCCACAGCTGCAGCAGGACAGCAAGCACAGRCCTCAGTTCCTGCCATGCTGCCCACCCGCCCCGTGTGCCAGGGCTGCCCCTGTGTCCCCTGCTCAGAGCTGCCACCTCTCACCTGCACAATCCGAAAGGTACTTGCTGTGTGCATCCTGCAGCCGCTCTGCACACTCAGAGGCCGCCAGCGTCTGGGACAGGAGGCAATCTGCAGGCAGAGAGCAGGCAGGGTTCAGCAGGGGCCGAACAGGAAGCAGGCAGGCTGGGATAACGCCAGGTTTGGGAGAAGCAGGAGCCTCACCTGCRGAGCCAGTACAGCTGACATGAGCAGGATCCTCCATGCGAGCCAGGGCGTCCTGCACCATGCGCTYGCCCTCACGTGCGGTGTCCTGCAGCAGGGACAGCTTCTCCTTGGCCAGTTGCTGCCGCAGCGCCTGCTCTGCACTCTCCTGCTGGGCCAGAGCTGTGTTCAGGGCCCCTGCTGAGCAACTGGGCATTCCCTGCACCCAGCCTCACCAAACCCCTCCAGTCTGGCCAGAATGGGGATGGAGGGACCCTCAAGGTAGGTACCTTGTCTCTCAGCTGAGTCTGCAGCATCTCCAGCTCTGTCCTGCTGCTCTCTTGCTTGTGGCTGAGCATGTCCCGCACCTGCTGCAGCTCAGCTTGCAGAGTTGCCATCTCCTCCCTGTGCTGCTCTGCTGCCTGGCTCAGCCTGTCCCTTTCCTGCTCCAGGCTGGCAATCCGAGTGTTCTGCTCTGCTCCTGCCTGGGGCCGGGCATGAAATGGTAGTCAGGGTGTGCTGAGGGTGAACCCTCCAGTTTAGGGACTCATTCTTGGTCCAGGCTTGGGCCACCCCGACCRTCCTTACTGAGTGTACCATGGCCTGTGCAGGCACAGCTCCCCACACTGAGCAATACTGATGACCTCACCCGTGGACAACCGAGGCTCCTGGGGAGCTGGGGAACTTTTATCAGTGAAAATTTACTTGCACCACGACTGTCACCATCCTGATGGAGGAGTGGATGCAGGGATGCCTCTGTCCCATCTCTATCCTGCTGCAGTGTCTGCCCACCCCACAGATGGGTGCGCTTTCCTGCCAGCTTCTGCCTTTCACAATGAGCCCAGGCAYCCCTGCTGTCCTCCACTGCTCTGCAGGGATACCCTCTGGCACATCTTGCARTGTGACGGCGCACTGTTACCTGGGCTTACAGCAGGCAGAGCTGCTGCCTGACTGCTCTTCTAGAGGTTTTACTGCATGATCCCTGCTGCTGGAGCCCATTGTTCCACATACTACCAGGAGTGAGAAATGCACCTGTGCTACATGAAACCCACCCAGATTTGGGAAAGGAGAGGATAGGGAGCTGGTTTTGAGGCCAGTGATGGGTACCACCTCTCGAATGGGTAAGGACTCACTGCCTAGCCCAGAGGGGTGCTGGGGGCCCCTCACGTGCTCTTACCTGCGTGCTGGACTCCAGTGTGTCSTGGAGCACCTGCAGTTCCTGTCGGCTGGCTGCCAGCTCCCGCTTCAGTGTCTCCAGCACCTCTGCCTGCTCCTGAGACTGTGGCAATGGGAGAGGATGCTTCACTGGCACCCATGGAGAGCCCCTGCTCATCTCTGGCGTGTTTCCCCCATCCCTACTTACCTTCCTCTGAGCCTGCTCGCTCACCCGCTGGAAGGAGTCCTCCAGCTCCTTCTTCTCTYGCTCCACATCCCCCTGGGCCTGCCTGGCCACTGTCACCTGCTTGGTCACCTCTGCATTCTGGCAATGGCAGAGAATGAGATGTGCAGCCCCTGGTGTCAAGGGGCACAGTGGGAGAGGGGATGCTGGGGGCGGTTTGGGGAGCCCACCTTGCGCAGCAGGTCGGCATGGTTCTGCACCAGCTCACTGTATTTCTCCTTCAGTTTGCTGTAGCGCTGCTCATTGGCCTGCGCCCGTCCTGCCATGCACACAGGGACACAGAGCTGAGCACCTGGGACGCCCCACAGGGCTCACTCCCACCCCACGCCGGTGCTGGCGCTCCCTGCTCACTCTCAATCTCYGTCAGGCTCCGCTGAGCCTTCTCCGTGTCTTCCCGTTGCTTCTTCAGCTCCTCCAGCTCTGTGCGCAGGAACTCACTCTCATCCTGTGCCTGCTGCTTCAGGTGCTGCTGCTCGGCCAGCTCTGCCTCCAGCTCGCTGGCCCGGCCACGCAGCTGCACCGCACCCCGCGTGCTCTGCAGGGACAAGCGTGGGCTGCCGGGACTGTTTGGTGACCACCAGCACCATCCAATGCCCACCAGTACTGTCCATTGCCTACCCGACCCATCTAGCAGCCCTGCCATGGGTACTCTCCCACACAGACCCCCGAAGGCATCTGGGCAAAGTACAAGGATGCTGGGCAGTGGGGCTGAGCCCAGCCCGTGACAGGGATGCAGCTCCCTAGCACAACTGAGGACCCCCTGTATGGGGAAAGCCATTGGGGATGGGGCAGGACAGAGATGGGGTCACTGTCTTGCCCACCCAGAGACCCAGCCACCAGCCTACCCCACATACTGAGTGGGTCTCATCCTGCCCAGCTGGTTGTCACCCACCTCAGCCTTGAAATTCTCCAGCTCCTCCTTCAGGGCTGCGATTTCCCCGTAAAGCTGCTCGATTAGCCGGTCCCTGGGAAGGAACAGACACAGGGTACAYCCTCAGTGTCATGGGGATACAGCCTGGGAGGGGAAGTGTCCCCYGTGTCACCACAGCTGTGGTGCTGTTCCAGGCAGGAAGATCCCAGTACAATCTTGGCCATTCTGTGGCATCACCAGGATTGCTCACTTGTCATCCTTTTTCATCCCGTTTTGGCTGTTGAAGTTGAAAGGGTCACAGCTGAAGGAGCTGCCGAAGATGTCATCAAACTTGTTATCAAACAGGCTCTGGAGGAAGAGCAGGACAAACTTGGAGTGACCCCACCACCACTCGAGAGCCTTGTCCCTCCATGTCCCCTGTGTCACTGCCAAGCCAGCCTATGAGCTGCCTGGACACCAAGGCTGGTTCCCCCCACTGCTTCCAGGACACTGAATGGGATAAACTTGATGAACATGGAGCATCTGTGGTCCATCCCCACCTAATTCCTGAAGGGAGAAGATCCCCAAAACCATGTCTTGGCATGTTCCTTCCCCTCTCCACTCAGTGCCTGGGACAACCCTTGGTGGACAAGAGGGTGGAAGAGTGAAGACCTAAAGGTCTCCATGGCAATGCTCAAAGCCAAACCTCTCCTTGCCCATCACTGGAGGGCACCACACCACTGAGCAGCACTGGGAGATTAATTCAGGCTGGCTCAGCCCTAGCAGCACCGAGATGGGACATCCAGCACCCAGACAGGGTACCCAGCACCGAACTGTCTCTCTGCAGTGACACTCCCCAGTTCTCGAGGCCATCCCCACTGTCTCAGCCCTCACCACAGCGTGGATTTGGAGAAATAACCCTGGGCTCAGAGCCAGRGGGCCCACACACTCCTCACCTGTGAGGCGGTATCCATCTCCACCAGATCTGTGATGGGCTCATTGTCAGGTGAGGATGCTTCAGCAGGGATCACCACCACGGGGCTAATGTGCTCCGATAGCGCAGAGGCACGTAGGAAATTGGGAGGGTTCTGGGGATGGAGGGGAACAGGGCTGAGGGGCAAGGACTGGTACTGCTGCTGGGCTGAAGGCACAGTTGGTTGAAATTCTGCCCTGGAGTTGAGCTGACCATGCCTTGACCCATGAGAATGGAGCCAGGACCCACAAGGATGGAGCCAGGACCCACAGGGATACAACCAGGACCCGCAGGAATGGATCTCRGCAAGGGCTATGATCAGTGAGAGAGAGGATCCCAGCTTCCAGTCAGAGGGCAGCTCCATCCCAGTGGATGCTACCCAGTGAGGGATACAAGAATGATCCTCAGGCCCCAGGAGCCCCATGTTGCCAACCGACCTAGGCAGGTGGGCAAGGCAAACAGAGGCTTTTTTGGGCCATCTGCCAGTGTCAGTGGCCCCAGTGCTGCCCCTGGGCATAGGGATGGGGAACATTGGGGACTGTAGGGTCTCACCTCTGGCAGCTGTGGGATCTGAATCAGCCGCTTGAAGTACTGCAGGTTGCTGGAGCGGTAGAAAAGGTCCTTGAGCCTGCAAGGGGCACAGAATGGTTAGGGATGGCTCTTGTCCAACCTGGACAACCCCTTGCCAGGCTCCAGGAGGGGTCACCTGGACACCATACTGCTCTGGAGGGAAAGTGTTTTGTGCTGCCACCAACCTCAGGGCAGGTCCTGGGAGTCCCTGCTGCCAGCCTCCCATTGCTGGAGGGTTTATCCCAAAAMCCCAAGGTCTCATGGGCAGGGAGAAGGACCTGAACTTGAGTAACCTGGTCTAGTGGAAGGTGTCCTTGCCCATGGCAGGGGGTTGTACTGGATGACCTTTAAAGGTCCCTTYCAAMCTAAAYCACTTCCTGSCTACCCGAAGTTTTCAGGAACAGGGTGCCTTCCTGTCTGAAGCCAACATCTCCACCCTCACCTTCAGCTCCKACAGGACCATCTTCCCCAGAAACAAGGTACCTCCCTCCAGGATTTCCAGTTTTGGGGARGAGGGACAGGGTCCAGTCACACCTCTCCTAGCTCCCATCTCTCCCAGGCACCTGAACATCCCAGCTGAGATCTTGGCGCTGTTGACCCGTCCCAAGGTTAGTTCCTGAGTGGTCAGAGCACAGCCAACCCTGCTATCTGCTCTTTGCAGTTTGTGACCTTGATGCTGTYCCTAAGCACCATGACATCCTCCCCTGGCACCATGACATCCCCTCCCTGCTCTCAGTGGCCAGTTTTGGTTACCCTAARTAATCTTGTAACAGAGGCCACAGCACATCCCTGCTCACTCATTTTTAATYTCAGTGCCTTGGGAGCACTCCCAGAGCACCAATGCTCTGGGTCTGGGCACTTACTTTCGGAACTGTTCCAGGAAGCGATCCCGGTGGCCCTGCAGCGTATCTGCTGGCAGACCTGGAAGACACAGCAAGTAGAAATGTCACTGGGTGTCTTCATGRATCAGGGAATAACCCATCAGCACAGCCACACGGAGATGACTCTTTCCCAAAGATGGCCACCCTCCTCTGGGGGTCCAAATGCTCCAGGCAGTGTCCTGCTGTGGGAGACTACACTCCACACCCCTCAGAGCAGGGAATAGTGTGGCCTGGTGACTGCCACCACAATTCCAGWTCCTGAAGGATATGGGTTTTGCACCTCCTTGCCCTTCACTCCCCAAGAGGCTGGGGAAGAGGTGGTGGTGAACAACCCAGGCTGAGCAGGGTGGTAGCCCCAGTACCTCCCTCCATGACCCCCTTGCCCAAGGTAGTGGTGCTGCGGACACTCACAGGAGTGGAGCTTGAAAAGTAGCTTGACGGTGTAGTCGTAGAGGTGGCTGCAGTCCAGGATGACCTGGATGAGTGGGGCCAGGCGGCACTGCCCTGCTGCTGTCACCGACACCGAGCGCGACATGTCCAGGGAGCTAAACACTGCAGGGAAGGAGTGCAGGATCAAATCTGACAGCACTGGCAGCACCAGAGAGTGCCACACTGTCTCTGCCAAATCCACAAATGTCATCCRGAGCAAGAGCCCTTCCTTCACCTGGAGCAAGATACCCACTGGCCCTTGGGGACACAGCCTGCTGCCCCGCAGCCGTTTGCGARCTCAGCAAAGGGGAAAATCCCACCCAAGCCTGGGAACACTCCAGCCYGGCAGCATGAGCCTCCAGCTGGTCCTGAGCCCCAGCCATTTCCCTGGGCAGAGTTGACATGCAGCCCCTGCCTGTGCTCTGCCTGTCACTGTTGTCCCACAGGCACTCGAGTGTGTTGGCTGAGCCAGAGGGAAGTTGTTCCAAAACCAGCTGGGAGCAACTGGAGACCATCTCATTCCAACACCTTCCACTAGACYAGGGTGCTCTAAGCTCCATCCAACCTGGCCTTGAACTCTTCCAGGGATGGGGCAACCACAGCTTCTCTGGGCAATCTGTATCAGGGCCTCCCTACCCTCACAGCCAAAAATTTCTTCCCAATATCCCACCTAACCCTGCCCTCTGGCAATAGGAAGCCATTCCCCCTTGTACTTTCACTCCAGGCTCTTGTCCAAAGTCCCTCTCCAGTCCCCTTGGAGCCCCTTTGGGTTTAGGAAAGGGCTCTAAAGGCTTCCTGGAACCTTCTCCAGGTGAACACCCACGGCTCTCCCAGCCTGGCTCCAGAGCAGAGGAGCTCCAGCCCTCAGAGCATCTCTGTGGCCTCCTCTGGACTTGCTCCAGCAGCTCCACGTCCTTCCTGTGCTGGGCCCCAGGGCTGGAGGCAGCTCTGCAGGTGGGGTCTCATCTGAKCAGGGCAGAGGGCAGAATTCCCCCATCACCTGCTGCCCACACTGGGGGATCAGCCCAGGGCACGGCAGGTTTTGGGGCACACATGGCTGGGGCACGTTAAGCTTCTCATCTTCCAGCAGCCCCAAGTCCTTCCCAGCAGGGCTGCTCTCCTTCCCTTCACCCTCCAGCCTGGATTGATACCAGGGGCTGCCCTGACCCAGGCGCAGCCCCTTCCACTTTGTCTTGCTGAACTGTAATTCAGGTGAAGTGCCCATTGAAGAGCTGAGCTGTGGTGCCCTCAGTTAACATCCCCTGTCAGAGCCTCCTGAACTCAGATCAGCCCCCATAAAGGGGCTGGATTCCTGCAGATCTCCCAGTCCACCCTCTCTCAGAATAATGTGGGGCTTTACCTGTCTGGAAGAGGTTCAGCTCACACTCCAGGTAGTCAAACATCTCCACCGTCAGCTGAAAACTAGGAAACAGGGTTGAGGATGGCTGGGGACCATCCCCATGGCCACCCATGAGCCTCAACCTCTGCCAGGTGCCACCCCAAAATGATGAGGGTGCTCTAGTGCGGAGGCACCAGCCTTGCCTTGGGCTCTGCCCGCTTCTAGGACCTGCAGCAGGGCAGGGGGCAGAGAAAAGTCGTGCTGCTCATGGGGTTGGGCAGATCGTGACTCTCCTCCTGCACCTACCCCCTCCCTGACCTTCCACTCCCCACACTCACAAGTTATTGACGTCATTCTCCCCAGCCTCATCAAGCTGTCGGTCGGACATCTGCAGATTTCCAGGGAATCGGGGATTCTGTGAGRGAAGCAGGCATTGGGAAAGGGTTCCTGAGGACCTCCTGCTCCAGCCACAGCTCTGGGAGCATCAGGGCTGTGATCCTGCAGACTYAAAGTCAGCTCTTGAATAAGCCAGGGGAATGATGTGGGGGAAAAGGGACACAACACAGGGTCTCTGAATACTGGGTGACCACAGCATCCCTAATCCATGATGTCTGTGCTCTTCCCAGCAAGAAAAGCCAAATCTCCCCAACCTGAGAAACCTGCCAAGCAGGGAGGAGATGGGGCTGCTAGCAGAGAGCTGGAGGGGATGGAGTGGTATCTGCCCCAGAGGGTATCTGTCCTGGCATTTCGGGGAAGGTCACATCACATTTCCAAAACAGGGTGATGGGCACAGAAAACACCTCTTTCCAGCAGAATTCTTCCCCCTTTGCCCATCTACGATATCTGGCCAGGGGGAGGGGGAAGGGGTGTGTGTCTCCTACTGCTTGTAACCCACCAACTCCCAGCCCAGCCCAAGGAGCATTGGGCCACCAGGAATCCTGACACCCTCAAAGCATTGGTCCTTGGGCCATTTTGGACCCAATTTTGATGGCCACCGGCAGCTCCAGGAACATTTCATGGAGGCAACAGGATGGTCATGTGGGTCTATTGCTGTCACCCCAACGCCCACCCCTTGCTGAAGCCTTAGGGACAGGGACAGGTGAGCTTACCTTGGTGTGAAATTCCATCTTGGTTCTCAGCAGTTTGAGGTAGATGCTGCACAGCTGCCCATAGCCCTCACTCAAGTGGCCCTGGGGACCAAAACACTGTTGAGATCCAGGGCAGGCTGTGGAAAAGCTTTTTTTGCACAAGATCACTCCCTTATCTCCCCAAAACCACAGCCAAACCCTTCCCACTGGCACCCGGACGCAGGCTAACTGTACTGAACAGATTTGGTCAGGACCTTCTCATCACCTTCTCTGCAGGTTTCAATGCTTCATTTAACTGTCAGAGGTGAGTTTTTACTACGTTTTACCATAAAACAGGAAGGAGGCATTTCATTTTGGTGGAAGGGGACACCAAATGCAACTGAAACCCAGCCCAGGGAGGTGATGACAAATCAGCCATGGCTGTGCTCTTGCTTCCTGGGAGAGGGAAAGAAGGAACCTCCCAAGCCTACACCCCCTCCAGCCTGGCYGAGGGACCCCCATGATGTCCCCCTCTATGGCTGGCAGGGTTGATCACTTACCCACATCCTGCTCATGTCACTCAGCTCGTTCTTGTATCGCACAGAGTCTTTCAGGACCTGGAGAAAAGATGATGACWATCAGTAGGCAGAGCACGGGGACATAGTGTTCCGTATTTGAAACCAGGAATTGGAGGTCTTGATGCATTCCTGACCCTTTAGTACCACCGCCAGCCCTGGGTGCCTCAGTTTCCCCAAGGAGGATCCTTGCTGATGGCTCCTGCACCGCTGCTGTTGCCTGGTGCTGAGCAGTTTCCTCTGGTACTGGCACTGCCATCAGCACCAGGGTTTGAGGCACACCAGTTTGTGGGCAGAGCAGCACCAGAAGGGCTCTGCCACTGAGGATGGACCCCCAGGAGGACACCRACCTCTACTCCTAGAGGGGAACTGCCCCTCTAGGAGGGCTCCAGCTGCAGTCCCCACCCCAGGACTGACCCCACCAGGAGGACACTGACCCTCAGCATCTCCCATCATCCARTGCAGCCCTGCAGGGGAAAGGAATTAGCCCTAAGCTGAGCTCTGGGCACTCACATTGGAATGTCCATCCCGRAGGAGCTTGTGGAAGACATGGCAGAACTTCCAGCAGAGCACGGCGTTGCCAGACARCGGCAGCCGGTTCACCACTGACCAGAAGGTCTGTGCTCCCTTCTCATGGTGCGTGCCCAGGATGCACGGTGCCGGTGGTCAAGGAAACACTCCTCTGCCCTTTGGTGATGGTGAACAGCCACCCAAAGCTGGCTGCACCCGCAGAGTCCTGGGGGCCCAGGCCACCATGAGAAGCTAATGTAGCCCAGCCCAGGCATGCACTGTCCCCAGGGTGGACAGAGGGAGGTGGTGTCCCTCTCTCTCCCCAGTCCCATTCTGGGAGCACCATGCAACACTGGGGCTGTGCCTCTGCTGAGCATTCCCAGATGTCTGCCTAGGATGMTGGGGATCCACTTTTAGTGGCAGCATCCCAACCTGCTGCAGGCACCCCAGCAGGTTCCTCTCYCACCCTTTCATGGGATAGCAGAGTTGGGAGCACCAGCCTGGACACCCACCAACATTCAGAGGCTGTGCCAGCAGGAGTAGGGACCCTGTGTCATGCTGGAAAAACATCCAATGTTGTTAATAAACCCTCCAAGGTCCCATCCAGCCAGCACCCTGGGCACCTCTCCTCACACACTCTCTCGAGATCGCCCCTTTTCCAGGCAGCCCCAGCCCCGCTCCAACACTCCTTGTCCCATGGCCCGCTTTGGGAAGGATATTCCTGGCGTGTTTCTCTTTGACAGCCACTTCCTGCGCATTAATGGCCTTATTGATGCTGACGGTCTGCAAGAGAGAAGCGATGTAGGGGGGTGAGATGGGAAGGGTTGAGGCTCCCTCCCAGTCCCYCCTCATTCACTGAGACCCTCTGGCTCTGCCGGCACCTGCCATGGCTGGGTCCCATCCAGGTCCCCAGTCCCTGCTCTTGCCAGCTGGATGCTGACCTTTCCCGGATGCCTTTCTAAGATGCAGTTGGCATTCACCAAGTTCAGCTGCTGCCAGGACTCATTTACTCAGGATAATAATGGTGCAATTAAAGCAGTGCTCACAAAGAACCCACTGCTGCCCTCGGAGTGGTGGGACAGGCAGAGGGAAGGCAAATCCCTCCCCTGCCCTTGGACTCTGGGCAGCAGCTGGCAGCTCCTATCCCACTTTTGGGGGGACTGAACGGGGAGGACAATTTGAGGGGCACTGAGAATTGGGCAGTGGGATGGCAAGACCACTGCCAGCACTGCCTGGCAAGGTCCTGGCTGCTCCATGGATTAGAAACAGGCTGGACTTGCCACGCAGGTGTTGAGGACCTTGGGGAGTCCACACGGAGGAGCCTGGGCAGAGGCAGCCACCATTTATCCTATGGAAGGCAGTGACAGCCATTGGAAGCATTTTCCAGGCAGGACTTTTAATCCTAGCCCATTTCTGCTCCTACACGGGGACACAATGATGCTGGCTCGGGGTCACCCTTTCCCCAAACTCCCACATCACCGAGTGCTTCCCTGGCACCTGTTCTGTGAACATCGTGCTGCCAAGGGAAGGAACCGTCTGGCTCAGCACTGCCAGAAGTAGCCCATTACTGATATAAACCAATTAAAGATGTGGGATTAATTCCAACACCTTCCTCACTGCAATCATTGCTGCGACCCTGCTTCCTGGCCCTCTCTGAAGTGGCCCACATGGCTTCATTCCTAYGGACCCTGATGACTCTGTGCTGAGTGGGGCTGGAAGGGCCCACAGAAGCTCCAAATGTGGTGGGGTAGAGCCCAAATCCCCCCCAGCCCGAGCAGGAACAATGATGGGCTGAGACAGAAGAGACYCCACCCATAGCTGGACCCTCAGCCCAGCACCTCCAGCCCAGAGCCAAGCACTCCCTTAGCTAAAATTGTGTCCCAATGCCCCAGTATGAACTAGCTCTGCTGCAGCGACGTCACTGCTCTGTGGTGTTTGCAGCCCCATCCCTATCGGCTCTGGGTGGTCACCATGGAGGTGACCACTAAGGACAATGGAGGTGACACGGGAGGTCATCAGCAAGATGCAAGAGGCTCATTTTGAGGTGTCTGGGGACCTGGATTGCCAGTTGCAAGACACCCACTCCAGGCACCCAGAGCAGAACCCAGACCTCAGCTTGGTTTTTTAACAAGAGCTGAAAGGAACACCAGCAGTGGAGAGATCCATCCATCCCTTCTTGAGGGGCTAGATGGAGACAACAGGTTCCCAGAGTGTGAGAAGGTTGGGAGTCACCTCTGCAGCTCTGCCCATCTCAGCAGCCACAGCCCCTTGTCAGGAAAACCACAAAATTAAATTCAGCTTTAAAAAAATGTCAACAAATCCCTAGGGAAGGTGCCTCTGCCACTCTGCAGACGGATGCCCATGTCTCAAAGGTTTGGAGCAGGATGCCCACATCCCAAYAGCCATTTTTGACACATGCCATAGATCCAGCTCCAGGGGTAGCTTGTCCTCATCTGAAAAACCAGTCTGCAGCCCCACAGGCACAGTCAGGACAGCCAGAAACAGCCAGSACAGTGAGGAGTGCCAGGATCAGCATTTAAATGCACATTCCACCTCGGAATGGACTCCTGGACCACAAGCCAAGTGCAAAATCAGAGCTGGGGAGTGGAAGCTCACAGCCAGAGGCAGGATGCAGGCATCACTTTTCCGAAACCAGCATGTGTCCGGTGCTGTCAACCCCAAATGACTGGAACAGGGGTGGTCTCCAGAGGGAAGCAGTGCTGCATCCCTGGGACAGCTGGAAATGGGGCTCCCAGTTTACTCCTCTTTCCTGCCAGCTTTTCCTGGCCAAGCAAGGACACTCTTTTCCAACCAAGGAAGCCCCAGCAATCTCCCAGAATGAGGAGACACAGTGGGAGGGAGGGCTGGCAGCCCCTGGTTCCAGGCAGGGACTTCCCAGAGCCTTCGTACCCAAGTCCCTCAACTCCAGTCGAAGCACACACAGTACCTGTCTGGAAGGCAGGAAGCTTTTCTGAGGAAAAGCTAGATCCCACTTTCTTGTCCTTGTGGACAGCTCACTGCATCCCTCAGAGTGCAGGACAGGGGKTCCATCCCTGGAGCCAATTTGGGAGATGCCCAAACTGCCATACCAGTGTCTCTGGCAGGGTCCACATCAGCAAAYCAGGGGAGCACAGAGCAGCAGCAGGAGACCAAGGTTGAAACTGTCACTTCCAGGGAACAAGTGGGGTCAAGGAGGGTGATTTGGCTGCAAAATTGGGTCAGGACAGAGAGAAATTTGGGGCTGCCTGGACAGCAAGCCCAGACCCCTTCCCCACAGAGGGTCTTTCATCCTGACTCAGAGATRGTGCTTCCCACCACCATCCCACACCTGCAGTTGAATTTTAATTTAGTTATGAGCTTCCAACCTATGAGGGCGACTTCTGACCTACCAGGACATATCTGGGCAGCACCGCTGGCCCAGTTCCAGTTTTGTGAACAGGACAAGGGACATGGGGCAGCCCCACACCCCACCCTGCTGCTGGGACAGGAAACTCTGGGGTTTCCTCAYGTGCAACAGGCCAGGCGGGAAGTGGGAGGAGAGTCCAGAGAGGCCCATTACACAAGGAGAAGTGTGATGGTGATAATGCCATCCGGACACCCTGGCAGAGCCACAGAGCCAGGATGTGGGACTGAGCTCAGAGGGGAAGGACCTGGAGCAGGGATAGGCATGGGGCTCTGCCAGGCTGGAGAGTGGCTCCATGGGYGCTGCAAGGGCTGGTGAGGACATACGGGCTGGGAATGCTACAAGGATTGGGAATTCTGCAAGCACTGTTAGCTTTACAAGAACCACTTGGGCAGGGTGAGGAAACCCCACTGGCATGTGCATGGAAAAGCACAATCCATTTGGGAGAGCAGTAGTCTGGGACTATCTGTGGGACCTGCCTAACTGTCTTTTCCTTCCTCTGCAACACCAAGAAGATTCTCAGAAATTTGTGGAAGGTCCATTGCCCATGGCTTGATGGGGCAAGCCACCATAGCCATGTCCCATGGGAATTCAGCACAGAATCCCACTGGCAGTGAGTGCTGTCAGCCCTTGGATGAGCTGGACTAACCCCCATGGGAATCCCCAGTCCCTGATGCAGCCCAGCTCTTCTCACAAGGAGATCCCACAACAGGATGGAGCCAYCAACAGCTCCACACTGGGGTGACCCATGGACTAGGACTCATGTCACCTCTCCAGGTGTGTGTCAGCAGGCTCCCAACAGGGACAGAGGAGCCCAAAACTGCATGGAGGGAGAGAGTCAGGGTGACAGAGGCTTTCTGAGCCCTGATACACACTTCCCTGTCACATACACTGTCACCCCCCACCGGTTCTCCCCAGATTATGCTCTCACAYTCTGAATCCAAAATTTCCCATTTGGAGGCAAAGAGCCAAGCTTGGCTCAGGAGCGGCACAACGCCTTCCCGCTTCTTTCATTTCCAAAAGGAAATGAGTGTTGATTAAAGAATCCAGAGCTACTGCAAATTATTTGGAGAAACTGAGTAAGTCGCAGTGCAAATCCTCTTAGTAATGCTCCCTCATTTCGCCTTAATTCCTTTCTATAAATGGAGAGCCGGGATGGAGCATACCTCTGGAAAACCGCTTGCAAGCCCTGCAGACTCAGGAGCTTTGGGTAAGGGAGTGAACAGGGAGACTTGACTACAAGAAGACTGGAAGAAAAATCCATGGGTTTAATTAAAATGCAAATCCCAGCAAAGCTTGGCATGGGCCCTGGAGGTGTGCAGGACATGGGATGCAGAAGCTCTTCCAAGGCCACATCTCTCTTCAGACATCACCCACCAGCAGCRGCTAATGGCAAATCCCAGCCTTGATGGGACTCAGGGAATGGTTTTCTCCAGCAAAATCCTGGAGCAAAACCAGCTGGACAACAGCCAGGGTGGTCAATGCTCTCCTGAGGACTGGTGAGAGCTCCTGGGGACAGTTGGGGTGGCRGCGGTCCCAGCACACTGGGCACCTGTGGCCTGCCAGCAGCAGCAGGAGCAGGGAACAAGCCTGGCTTTGTGCCTGCCAGGGAAAGGGAAAGGGAGGCAGGAAGGCAGCCTGCAGGAAGCAATGCCAGCAGGGCTGGCCAGCCACACAGGATGTAAAACCCAGGGATATATTTCTACATATTGGACAGGAGGATGCTCCCAGTCTTCCCACTCAGTCCCATAGGCTTCCCGTGAGCAGGGAGTCAGGGGACATGGAAAATACCTTCCCACCACTTAATCCAGGCTATTTGGCTACATCTGCTGCTGAATCCATGAGTTTGGAAAGCAAGTGCTCCTCTCCTGGCTGGCTATATGCTGGAGCTGCTCTGGGGATGAAGCTCCTTGTCCAGGCTGTGTGAGAATCTCCCTAAAGGTGCTGCTGCTCTTCTCACCTCCTGTTCCCTCCAGATGAGAATAATTCCCAAAATGATACAAGTCTCAGATTTCCCACTGCTTGGGCCATAAARACAACCATTTTCCCCCAATCAACAATGATTCCAGTGATAGAATTGCATCCACCRGGATCGCTCCAAGTGGCAGTGGCTCCAGATGTCCCTCTCCAGAAGGAGATGCTGATGCCACCAATCCAGATGCCAGTAGGAGGAGGACCAAGGTGTCCAGAGACAGCCCTGAATTCCAGGTGACACCAGTGTAGGTGTTTGGGGTCACCTTGTCCCAGAGCCTGCACATGGAATATCCTGAAACCGAGTCACTGGGAAGAGGGCAACAAGCTCTGTAAGCCACACTGGAATCCGATGGCATGACCATGACCATGATGCTCTTCTTGGCAGAGACTTGCCCTGGCACAGGAT